AATTTCCCTTGTTTATTGATGTCACACTCCTTCCCTATTATCTACTCCTGATGTTGTAGATGTCGTTTAGTTTTAAGAGCTTCAGCTCACGATATAGTGGGCTTACTTTGGTCCTTCTAGGTGCAAATTTAATTAGCCTAATGATTCTGTTTTGTATAGATATTCAGCTTTTTTTATAAGAGCTTCAGCTCACGATATAGTGGGCTTACTTTGGTCCTTCTAGGTGCAAATTTAATTAGCCTAATGATTCTGTTTTGTATAGATATTCAGCTTTTTTTATAAGAGCTTCAGCTCACGATATAGTGGGCTTACTTTGGTCCTTCTAGGTGCAAATTTAATTAGCCTAATGATTCTGTTTTGTATAGATATTAATGGTTTTAGAGCAGTTGAGGAAGCTGCTCCCCAACTTAGATTAGCATATTGGAGATATCGAAATGCAAGTGAGTAATATACAGTTAAGAGTGTCTGAGTATTTACATAGTGTCTTAACTTTGAGATGATGCCAGTAGTTCTTGCAAGTTTACCAGATATATGTTTGATGTGTTGGTTCCATTTCAGGTAACTATAAAGATAGATGCCTAAGTATTTTATGTGACTAGTTTGTTCAAGAGTGGAGCTTCCCATTTTAATATTAAATGTCGGAAATTCGGACTTGTTGCTGATTATCATAAATTTGTTTTTTTTATAGTTGATAGATAATTTATTGGATGCCATCCAATCATCAATGCTGGCAAGTTCTTCATTTACAATACTGTTTAAATTATTAATATTACTTCCTGACATGAATAAGTTGGTATCATCAGCAAATATTCTAGTTATAAAATTTGAAGCATTAGGGAGGTCATTTATATATATTAAGAATAGCAAGGGACCAAGAGTTGACCCTTGTGGTACCCCATATGAGACATGTAAATGGGACGAAGATGAAGTGCCAATACTTGTAAACTGCGACCTGTTTGTTAAGTAGCTTTTAAATAAATGTAAGGCGGTTCCTCTGATGCCATAGTGGCTCATTTTATGAAGAAGAATATCATGCTGCACAGTATCAAATGCCTTTGAAAGGTCCAGGAAAATACCGCATGTAGATTTCCCTTCATCCATTGCTGAAAGGAGATTGTCATAAATATCAGAGATTGCTAGCATAGATGAGTGATTTTTCCTAAATCCAAATTGGTTAGGGCTTAAGGTATTACAGCGAATTAGGAATTTGTACAATCTGTTATAAAGTAGTTTTTCAAATATTTTTGAAAAATGTGACAGCAGGGAAATAGGTCTGTAATTTACTGCCATGTTGGGAGAGTCACTCTTGTAGATTGGAATAATATTGGCTATTTTTAGACATGTGGGAAAGA